GAATGTATCCCATTGGCCTGGGGGGCTCGGAGTGGGTGTGAGGGTCACCTGTGCCCGTGGCAGCTTGGTGTGAGGTCAGAAGTCACAGCAGCCTCCGTCTGCCCCCGCTCAGCTGGTTCAGGGGAGAGGCGGGGCCAGCCCAGCCAGCCCGGGGTTGACGAGGAAGAATGGAGTCATTCTTCCCAAGCCGTGCATTGCTTCTCTAGCTCTTGGCAGCAGAAATGGGCTCAGGGAGGGCAGGTTTGCAGGCAGCCAGGTCGGTGGCATTTAAAGGAGCCTTCTGTCAGGACTCCTGCATGGGATTCCTGTCTTGCAGAAAGCCTGAATTGTGTCCAAGCCTTCACCCCTGAGATTGTGCTGAGAGCAGCCACCCCAGGACTGGCACCAGTAGCTTACGGTGCCTGTGCCAGGCTAATTGTCTCTGGCCCTCAGACCATGTTTTCCTGGCACATGTCATTCCTGATAATTAGGCTGCTGAGTGGCCCTCGCTGCTGTGCATTTTGTCTGACACCCAGCTCCACTGAAGGAAGGGGTCACAGCCTTGGCGGCCAATCACTGGCCGAGGCCACCAGCTCCGTCCCTCCGAGGCTGGCTCCAGGTGGCTTTGCTGGGGTCAAGAGGCTGCCCTGCACTAAACCTTTGCCCCTTGGTTCATTCCTGGAGCCAGAGATACGAGCTGCTTGCTGACCCAAAGGAGCCTCTATGCTCAGCCGTTGTTGGAGATGCAGTGTGGACATTCCTCAGTCATTCCCACGTTGGCTAAGGTTTTTTAAAAAATCGTGATTTAATATTTTTCTTTCACTGTCCGGTTGGAGTGTGTCTTTTAGGTATATGCAGTTTAAGAAGGTGTGCAGGTCATTTATTTCTGATTTTGTCTCCTTTCTGCCCTGCATGGCATTGCTATGGTCAGTCCCCTTAGCTCTCTGTTCAGCATTCTCTTCTGCTTTTTCCAGAAAATTCCTATCAACGTTTAACTCTATACTCAGGATGTGAAAACTACCGGATACAATCATACAGTTAGGTTGTTGCTGCTAAAAATGTAAGGTGTTCATTCATTCACAAATGAAATCCTCATTGAGTTCTTGTCATACGCCAGGCACTGTGGGAGGCCCTCGAGGGGTAGCAGGGACGGAAGCTCCGATGTTCAGATTTCCACGGAGTGTCCAGCTCCCTCGGTGCCCGATAACGGCTGCGTCTCTAGCCCATTTGTTTCCCCGAGGACGCGTCCCTAGGGAAAGCCCACTCCTGTGTTCCACACCGGCCAACCCAAACCCCCCAACGTGTCCCGGTCTCGTACCAAACGCCCACCCTGGTCTGGTGGGTAGAGATTAGCAGCATTATTAGCAGGGAGGATACTTTTGTTAGACAGATGTCGAGCCAGGGTAGGTACTCCTGCTTGAAATAGGGTCCTCACTGGTGGTCTGGTGTTTGGAAAGGACTTGGGGACCGGGAAAGGAAATTCACATAAATTAGCAAGCGACCAGCGCTCCCACTCTGGCACATAGTTGAAATGAAGAGCAGGAATCAGGCAAGATGACACGATGCTTGGGGGAGGGAGAATGTGCAGACGGGAGCTGCTCCATCATGAGGGCGCCCATGGGGTCACGCAGGGGCATGGTGAGCGGGACGTGGGTGGCAAGACTAATTTCAGCCCGCCTCCTGGTGGGAATGAGCTGCTAATGTATTTGTCAAGCTGGGTAAATGTGGTTAGAACCCCGGAGGGACCGAGCTGCCAGGTTGAAAGATGTAGCGACTGTAGATACATGGGGCTGGGCAAGGCAGAGACCGATACGTCCCAAACCTCTCGGAGCGGTGAGACCCCCACCACGGTCTGCTCCATCCCATGACCCCCACACCTGTTGTAGGCACATGTCTGAACAATAATTACAGCTGATGGCAATTAATTTTGGCTGGTGAGTGTTTGAGGCGTCTCATAATAACTCTTGAGATAATCAGGGCTGCTTTGGGATGTCACAAAAAGAGCATTTGGAATGACTGAATGAAATGTCTAAACCAGAGATGTGCAGTGAAGGCTCGCAACTGAACGACAGTTCTGTAGAGGGAAGAACGCTGGGTCAAGGACTATGAGTTTGGGCCTGTCACCTGCATGCTGGTGAGCTGGCTCTTGGAACACAACCACTGCCACCGTGCTTTATGGGATGTGACAGTGTCTGTGTAAATACTCCCACCGTGGTGGGGTTCCCACGACCACAGGCTTCTTCAGTGGCTCACTCAGCTCCTGCACCTGGAATAATCAGCCGCTTTAGGGCCATGCAAACTCCCGCACACCAACACAATCCTGACGGAGCTTCTGGTTAGCTTGGTGACCTTGGGCACGTCACGCCACTTCTCTGGATCTTAGTGTTACCATCAAGAACGTGCAGTTCCAGCCCTGGCCAGTTTGGCTCAGCGGTTAGAGCGTCGGCCTGCGGTCCGGAGAGACCCGGGATCGGTTCTGCTAAGGGCACGTACCTCGGTTGCAGTTTGTCCCCGGCCCTGGTTGGTCGTGCGGGTGGCAGCCACTCGATGTGTCCCTTCACATCGATGTTTCTCTCTCTCTCTCCCTCCCACTCTATCTGTACGAAAAATGGAAAAATATCCTCGGGTGAGGATAAAAAAAAAAAAAAAAAAAAAAAAAAAGAACATGCAGTTCCAGAGTTACTACTGCAGTAATGTCGCGGGTGTGATGAGCAGGACCGACACCCTGAGGCTCCCTGAGCGCAGGTCGCAGAGGCGGCGGCGGCAGAGCCCCGCGTCCACGCCCCAAGGGCCGCCTGCGGGCCTTTTGGGTTTCCTCTCCCTGGCGCCCCTGTTCCTTGTTTGCTGTGGGGTTTGGATGCTTTCGCATGTGAGCGAACCGGGCTCAGCCCCCGGCCGGGCAAACGGAAGCACCAGCCTCTGCCAGGGTTCTGAGCAAATACGCCAAGTCAGTGGCTGGGCTGTACTTTGCCCCAGTGAATCAGCTCCGTGGAGGCCGGGCGGTTGCAAAGGTAACTGACTCGCGGCAAATGGGAGGGCCAGGTGGGTCTTGGTAGATGTGGCACCTGGACTTTGACAGTTTCCACGAGGAGAGGAGACACTCTTGGGCCAGGTCCCTGGAGCTGCGCTGGAGGAAGGTGGAAGGCCTCGGAGCAGGTGTGTGGAAGGCTAGCCCCGCTGTCCCTCTCACCTGTGCTTGCTGCGCCACTGGGTTAGGAGAAGCAGCAGCGTCCTGCCGGGGCCGGGAGGGTCATTTATGTGCAAATGTGACTTGTCACTGTAGATGGAACCCCTTCATTTCGACAATCTTAGTTGCTTTTGGGTTAGGGTCCTGGGTTATAAACTGAGGCCTAACTTGCTGGAGGTGATATCTCTTGGCTTCAGAATGCCGGGGTTTTGGCAAAGAGATTGGGGATCGTCCCTCTGGAGCCAGGGAAAGCCGTCCAGTGAAAGTGTCTGGGGTTGAGGTGAAGAGACCTTACTTGTGTCCAAAGGGTGCTGTGCTCCAGGGGCCTTCAGGAAAGTCCCCTGCACCCGCTGTCTGGGGCATCTGGCCTTCGCTGCAGTTTGCCGGAAAAAGCCTGCCTTTTCCAGAAAAGCGGGCTACCGTGGGGAAAAGGGTGTCGTTTTCCTGAGCTGCGGCTGATCTCAAGGTGGAAGGCACTCCTGAGCCTCACTCTTCCGGTACGTTCTGTTGACAGCGCTCGGCTCATCGTGGTGGAGCCTGGCTCCGTGGCGTTTGAGCACGGTGATGTGTTGATTTCAACACTTACCCTTTGACCCGTTGTTCTGATAAGAATTCTATGTGAGGCTGGGAGTTTCGGGAGTGGGAGCAAGTTAAGTGGATGCCATCAGAATCTTTCAACTGAAAACCGTTCCCAGCGGAGAAAAGAACACGGGATCTGATTGAGCTCATGTCTTCTCCTGACACAGGGGCCCCCGCGCAGGAATAAGGTCTGGGGTGAGCTCTTCCTTCGAGGGCCGCTGGAGACGGGCCCTGCTCTGTGATAGGGGCCGAGGAGCTTGGAAGGCAGCCTCTTTGGAGCTATTTCCCGTTTTGAAGACTAACTGGAGAAAATCAGTTTGATTCTGGGGAGACGTCCAGGTTTTGAAATCTCTGGCCGGGAGGATTACCAGGACATGGCTCTCTAGTTGGTCATGGAAGCAACCCCAAACTTCTGTCTCGTTGGCTGCCCTGGGGGAGAGGCAGCCATGGCTGTATTATAGGGCTGAGTTCTAAGAGGTGAATTTAAAGATTCATAAAGATGTCTTTTGAGGTCAGTTTAAGTTTTTTTTTGTTTAGAAAATGCTGTCAGCTGTTCTCACTATCCTAAGCTTTATGTCTAACACTAGCTGTTATTTATTGACAATCACCAGAGACCAGACGGTGAATTGGACACTTCATAAGTTATCTCTAATTCTGACAGTAACCCTGCAAGCTAGCCATGATGATCCCCATCTTATGGGTAAAGAAATTGAGGCTTGAAAAAATTAACCAGCTAACAAGTGGCAGAGTTAGGATTTGAACTCTGGTCTAGCCCTGTCTAAGGTCCACTGTATTTCCATGATAGCACAGGGCCTCCATAGTCAATGTTGAATAAATATTTGCTGGTGGAATACATGCACATTGATTTAATTGGAATACTTTGATGGTGTTTTGACGCTTCATCTATTACTGTTCTGTCTCCCATGCCTCCCACATCTTTTATTGCTGCAACTAATTATACTTTTTAATTTTTAAAGCCACATCAATATAGTTGTCTTGCCTGTTATTTATTTAATGCATCTGCTTGAGAATCTGCCCCCTCCCCCGATATTTCTGTATCGGTGCCCATGTGGTTTGTTTGAAATAGAAGATACTCAGGGCCATACGTGCTTTTCACACAGAACCGAATGAACCATCATGTTTGGATATAAACCTAAAATAATGAGAAGGTTTCTGGTCTTTTTGTTTTGTCTGCAGGAAGATAAAGTAGCTACACAACTGACTCAAAACAAGAGAGAAATTCAGAAGGTGGGGGATGGAGCCCTGGGTTCCCCAGCAGGCGCCGCAGCCCCGGGGCAGGCCCCCAGCACCGTCACAGGGCCCAGACCGAGACCGCCGGAGAGAAGGCTACCATCGGCCGGTCCCCCACTCTCGGCACAATGGAGAGAGGTTCCGTCCATGGCAAGACATCCACGGGAGCCCCCAGCCACAGAAGGACCCCAGGGCAGACCACCAGCAGCCTCATTACGTGCCCAGGCCTGGGGAGTGGCACCAGCCCGTGTCCGGGGTTGACTACTACGAAGGGGCTTATCCCAGTCACTTGTACCCAAGGTATGGTTTCGGAGCTTGGAAGGGACCCAGCTCTCCCGAGCGTTTATGAACGGCGTGTGCTTTTCCTTCTTCCTCTTTCCTTTTATTTCTCCTTTTTTTTTTTTCTTTTTCCTTCTCCACCCTACTACATTGATTTAGCTAGACCCTTTTCTCTCCCAAATTGGATTTTGGTGACTGAAAAGAATATTTCCCCCTTCTGTGCACCCTGGTGGGGCTTCTTAAAGAAGCCATCAGAATGTGGTTGGGCGTTGGGGGCGGGGGAGAGGGCAGACCGAATGGAAGAAGGGTGAGATTTGAGGAGCAGATGGAACCCTCTTATTCTGGGATTGCAAGAGGCAGTACATGTATGTGGATGATGCGGAAGCTCTGCCTGTGGACCCTACGAAGACATCCTCATCGTCTCTGGACCACTCTGGCCCAGGGTCAGCATGACACCAACCGCACCAGGAGAAGTCCTGGTCCCCAGAACGGCGCCGAGAGTGTGACGGGCATCCGGAAAAAATACGCATCGAATGAACGGGTGGGAACTTGAAAGGGAAACCGGCCTCGGAGAAAGCCGATACAAGCTTGCAGGCTCCAGGTTCAGACAGAGGCCTCCGTGAGGCCACTCTCGGTTGGAGAGTCAGAACTCCCGCTCCTGGGTTCTGAGCGGGAGCCCTGGACTCAGCATTTGACGGAATGTCGGGAGCCCTCTGTGCTCACTTTCGCTTTTCCAGGTGGGGTGAAATTCACCCGCCTACAGACGCAGGGTTGAAATGACGACAGATATTTAAAACGATTTGGCCCCTATGAAATGCTAAATAATGATTAATTGATGAAAATACTACAACCCGACATGCCTTTCCCCCGTCTTTCTGTACTGTCGCGTTCTCAAAGGAAGGTGTGTTAAGGTCAGAGGCAGTGAAAGCAGTGAGATTTGAGACAGTCCAACCTGACTTCGCCATCTCGTTTCCATCAGTAATGTGCGTGGGAGGGACAACAGCACGTGGGATACATCCACAGTCGTCTCAGGAAGGGTTTCCAAGATAATTACCCTGTGTGGTTGGATGTAGGTACTTGAAGAGTAAGAGGGACCGTTGGGAAGGAGAAGGAGACACTTGGCTATGGTTTTGCTATAACAATCCCAGCTTTGTTCTGAAACTAAGATCTTACTCCTGCTCTGAATCCAGATGTTCTGTTTATAGGACCTAGAATGAACTGTGACTGTAAAGCAGATTCTAGCCTGAGGGTCACCATTCCGTCCTCTGAAGTTACTTAGTTTGTTCTGTCCTCCATTAGGTTCTCTCTTTACCACACTCATCCTTGAACAGCTGCCCATCTTTGTGATATTTTAGGCCAGGCACCGAGGATCCGTATCAGAGGTACCGTTCTCCAGCTCTCAGGGAAGACTACGCTTACGGGAGTTACTACTACTATGGACACCCACAGCAGCAACCGGAGGAGAGAGGTATGGACTACCCTCCCACGAGCTGCTGGCATGGAGCGGCCGGTCTGATAGACAGGGCAGAGGCCAAGGGAACGGTGCCCGGGGCCTCACCTTGGCATCCTCCTCTGCTGGGGAGAAAGAACTCCCTCCCCTGCTCACTTCCTTCTTGGCCAGAGGGTCACAGTCAGGACGCTCCTGCTTGAGGTCTCGAGGAGAAGAGGAAAGAGCAGTCCTTTTTCTCTGTGCATGTAGATGAAAGCATCGACATGATCGATATATTGCTCACATTGTTGATAGTTTGTACTTCGTCCACCGTTTTTCTTCTACTTCTCATTATGGCCACGATGATAGTCTCTGACCAAGTATCAGTGATGTCATCAAGTGTGTGTCTGGGCTCTAAGGAGTCAGACCATCATTCATCCTGAGGGTGCAGACATGCACCAGTAGGGGTGTATGCCCTATGCAGTAGCAAGGCTTTAGGTACTGATCATGGCTGCTAGCAAAGAGAAATCGGTTCCAACATTGACCACACACACACACACACACACACACGATTCACACTGTCGTGCAATAGCATTGAGCCATGCTCATTGGTTCAGGGAGGACTCAGGGGCATCTCATGGACTTGCATCATTAGCCCTCACGTATCAGTTGTGTCCAGTGTGGCCCATGTGTTTTTGTACCTCGCGTGGTCCAGTGACAGCGTCACAGCTTGCGAGAGTCTTTCCGAACGTTCAGGAGCAGGAAGTGACCTGCTTTATTTTTATTTTTATTTTTTTTTCTGAGGGTGCAGTGCCAAGGCAAGCGAGTCCTTATATCTGGCACGAAGATTATCGAGATCAAAAGTACCCCGCTGAACATCACCGTGAAAACCAGAACAGTCCGTTTGGAGTGAACAGCGAGACCCAGTTCCAGTGAGTGTGGAAGGAAAGGCCAGCTCAGCGTGGTGCAGCCAAACCCAGAGGCTGTTAGGAAACTCTCGCTGCATCTGGGGCTGGCTTTCATCTCCAGAAACCTGCCCGCTCCTGTTGGGGGTGTGGAGTTTTGTTCCTGGGGATAAGGCGTAACCCGGGGTGGCCCAGGCCAGCGGGTACAGGAGCCCTGGGAGGATTCGTCACTCTGAGACAGCAGACCCGGGCTAGTCTGAGTCCGGCTGCTGAGGCCCATCCTAAAGGAAGGTCTCGTTCCACGTTGGCCTCAGAACCCATGTGGCCTTGCAAAAGTTCTCATGACTCGGTCCCGCCTGGGGCTGGGATGCTTGTCCCCTGCCCACTCCTGCACCTGAGAATGGGACATCCTTTGGGAAAAGGTGAGCTGAGGATGGACATGGCCTTCTGTAGGAGCACCTGTCCGTGTGCCCTTAGGCCTGGCGCCTTTACCCTGGAACCAGCTATCCGACTGCGCTGATTTAAGCCGCTCCAGGCTGCCAGGCTGCAGGGACCACCCTTCTCTGCAGGGTTCAGGGCAGCCTCTAGTAACTGCCCCGGGGAACCCAAGGGCCCCCACGTTCCTGGTATTCACAGATTGAGGTGGCGAATATAAGGACAGTGCTCCTCCCTGTGGCACCTGACGCCTGTCACACTGCGGCAGAGCAGCCTCCAGCAGGGCCGCTCAGCCTGGCTGGCTTGCCCGGGCCTCACCTGCTCCTGTCATTGCAGATCTCAAAGTGGGAACCCTCACAGAGACAGCCCTGCCGCTAGCTCTGGGCAGGAGGGGCCTGGGGACGTGTTTCCGGAGAGTCTGCTCACTGGGGCCCAGAAGAAGAAGGTGACCTGAACCGCCGGGGGCTGGTGGCTGTGATGTTCCCTGCAACCGACATTGTCAGCAGTGGCAGGGCAGGCCCTTGGGGGCCTCTGGGGCCAGCAGACCTCCTGGCGGAGCCTCACTCACCCGCCTCCTTCCCCGCCTTCCCGGTTCACTCCTAAGGGCCTGGCACCCTGATCCGGCCCTTTTGCATTTTTGTCAAATTGGCTGAATCAGGAGATGTCACCCAAGTCACTCTGAGGGGCTGGGAAGGAGGACAGGCTGCCACCAGGACCGCAGTGGACGAGCAGTTTGGTTCACTCGGTCATGGGAAGTTGCTGGAACCTTCTAGTTCAGGTCTGAAAAACAGAGCTTGAAACCCATCTTGACTTTTTCACAGACTCTCCCTGTCTTCTAAAGTCTTACTATATATCTCGCCTGGGCCGTACAATGGGGCTCTTAACATTTTTTTTTTTTAATCATCCTCACTCGAGGACATTTTTCCATTTTTTGTTCAGGTAGAGTGGGAGGGAGAGAGAGGAACAGAGAGAGAGAGAAACATCGACGTGAAAGGGACACATCGAGTGGCTGCCACCCGCACAACCAACCAGGGCCGGGGACAAACTGCAACTGATGTATGTGCCCTTAGCGGGAACTGAACCCGGGTCTCTCCGGACCGCAGGCTGATGCTCTAACCGCTGAGCCAAACCGGCCAGGGCTTAACATTTTTAAAATAAACGTTTACTTGAAAAAATTTTACATTTATGGAAAAGATGCAAAGGCACTCTGGAGACAACCTCATAGTTTTTGACGGTTTCGTATACATTTTGTTTTCCTGATTGGATTTGTAGATTTTTGAAAACCGTTTCTTCTGTACGCCTAAAGCTCAACAGGCAGGGCACGCACTATTCTGACAGCAGCTGCCCGTGTACAGCATGTTACTGTGTACAAAGAGCTTTTGCATCCAAAGTATTATTTGTATCCCCCAGGAGGTAAGTTCCAGGAATTTCTTGTATGCCTGTATCCCCAGGGAAAGCACACTGCCTGGGGCATAGTAGGTGCTCATTAAATGGTGGGCAAACGAATGCATGATTAAGTACTTGAACTATGCAGGGCAGATAGGAGTACCTATATTACAGACGAGGATGCCCAGCTCAGAGAGCCTCAGTCACTTGTCACTAGGTCATAGCAGCTCCGTACTGACACAGCTGGATTGGAATCCAGGCCTCCTGGCCCCTGCACTCTTAACACTGGGCCCTATGCATCCTTTAGCAAACACCTGTCAATTGAATTATCCATCCTTTTCCTTGTAACACATCCACGCTCACTGTATTTATTCAAAAGCTTGGATTTTGTGGCTCCGAAGGAACACTCGGGGGGACCATCTCTCTGACACTGCTCTGACTCTTCCTGTGTGTCTTCATATTTCATGTCCAGCCATCACTGCCCAACGAGTCCAACCTTCTCCAGCAGCACGAGTCCGGTCTCAGCTCCAGTGGCTACGAGCTCAGCCAGTACATGGCAGACGCCCCTGCGCTGTATGACCCCATGGCTTCGGCAGCTTGGAGTCCAATTCAGGCTGGTGGGTACTGACGTGAGCAAAGGAGCTGGCTGAGTGAGACGGGAAGAGGGCTGCGTGGCCCTCTCGGGAAGACACTGTTACCCCAGTTTTCAAGAGTGGGTCATTGTTCGCCTCTTTTGCTTACAAGTTGGCTCCGACTCCCGCCTTTTCTCTTGTACCAGAGATTGCATCATAGCTGGTTCTCGGAAGGGAACCCTCCCCCTAGCCACCACCAGGTCTCCTGCGGGTTTCGAGGTGGCAGGTGAAGGAAGAGGACTGGGTCAGTTTGGTAGGGCAGAGGCAGGCCGCAGGCGTACTGGCTTAGTCTGAATGTGGCGGACTCGTCAACAGCCCCAGCCCTCACCATCACCGAGAGTCTCGTGCTTTGTCACCATTTGACCGGCCTTCACATCCTTGCGTTATATTCTGACGTGCTCTCAGGGGCTTGAATCTGCTGCTATTTCTGTAGCCCACCCAGAATCTTATCTGGGTCCCAGGTGGGATTTGACAGAAATGTGTGTGTGTGTGTGTGTGTGTGTGTGGCATTTTCTAAGTGAAGAAAAGCTGTGGCAGTCGTGCTAACACTGTCCACCTGTGTCTGTTGGTCAGAGGCTGTCTCTGCAGCTGGTCCCAAGGCACCCATGAAGTTCTATGTCCCCCACGTGCCTGTGAGTTTCGGGCCAGGTGGTCAGCTGGTGTGTGTGTGTCCCAGCTCTCCCTGTGACGGCCAAACGGCCCTTGTTGAACTGCACAGCATGGAGGTGAGCAAGTGTCTGTGTCCTGGGGATGCACCCTCTTCCCTGTGCCTGAGTCTGGGCAGCTCCAGGAATGGGGGGCTCTTGTGGGGAACTGAGCTGTGCCCCCTGTGTGAAGGAATGGGGGGGGGTTCTTCTCTGAAAGAAGCGATGATCCACTTATGTTTTCCCTGAGATGCTACTGGTTCAATTTCAGCCCCTGGAGAGCTCCTTTTGTTCTTTCTCGTAAAGCACTGAGCTGCACTTGGGGACCATGGCACAACCCAAGGGGGCATTGGGTGGACACTGTCTTGACGAGCAAATCTGATTTTTGTTCCAGGTTATTCTTAACGATTCGGAGGAACAAGAAGAGATGAGAGCTTTCTCAGGACCCCTGATCAGGTAAATTACCATAGGAGCAACTGCATAAGGGCTTTCGAAACCTATAAGGTCTTCCTGCCCAGAATAGGATTGTGGGAGGATTTGTTCTTGGCTCCTTTGAAAGAAAATGTCTATCCCTGTTGGAGTAGACTGTTCTGTGCTACCAGACAGAGCCAAATGTGGCCCGAGCCTTTTTGACAAGCAGTTCAATAGTTGAACAGCAGAAAGAAAAAATAATGTGAAGGTTGAAAAATCTGAAATTAGTTCCGTTTTGCAGAGGCGACATGTAGGGGGTTTTCGTTCCATGTACGTAGTAGACATTAGTGGGGTCGGGCATTGCTGGCAAGTCCTAGACAAGTGGGTCATAGTGGGAGAAAGTCTTGCCTTTTTCTGGAGAGAGAGCATGGTCGGTGTGAGTTCCTGGATGGTGTGCAAGTCTGCCCTCTGCAGGATTGAGCTAGAACTGCGTTTCAATGCCTGGTGGAGTTCTGGCTGGTGTCTGAGGACCTGGGTCCCAGCCCCAGGCATCCTACTAACTAGAAATATCATGGCAGACAGGTCAGTTAACCCTCTCTAGCCTTAGTTTTCCCTTTAAGAAATGATGTAACACAGGCTGTGCCTACTCCAGGAAGAGGCTGTGTTACGCAAGTGAGGTTAATGCACGTGGAAGCCCTTTAAATAGCAGCACCATTATTAAACGTGTTCCTATCCTGGATCCCCCCCTCCAAGAAATTCCCCATCTAGTATTTTGACAGTTCTTTCCAGTAAAAATGACTGTGTCTGTTTCTTACACTGAGGAATACAGATTTGGGTAGAGCCTGAGCTGGATATTTTGGACACTGGTCCCAAAGGGGCATTGATTTTATTGAATGGTCTCAAGCAAATAATACTGCCTGTTTATTGAATACTTGATATATGCTACACAATTAGCTAATTCCTTTTTTTTTTTTGGTAGGGAGGTAGATTTTTAAAATTATCCTTATTTTAGGGGAAAAGCTGAGGCTCAGAGGAGATAAGAGAGTGTATAAGCTGAGATGTGGCAAGCGAGAGTTAAACCCAGGGTTGTCTGACTCCAAAGTCTGTGCTCTTGCCTGCTACCCTAGGCAATCATTTCAGGTCTCGGGCCTCAGTCTCTTCATCTGTAAAATGGAGGGAGTGTACGTGAGAATCTGTGAAGTCCCTTCCTGTCCCGCAAGCAAATAACTACCCTGTAGCTACAGACCCATTACCCTGTCCCAGTCCGGTCCTGGGTCGTTGGGCCCAGCCAGGGGCCTCGCATTGTGGGAGGAGCCCCAGGTCCTGCACGGGTTAGAGTCCGGCCACTCACCCTTCGCTCCCTGAAACCTCTCCGTAGGGAAGACATTCACAAGGTGGATATCATGACGTTTTGCCAGCAGAAAGCAGCTCAGAGCCGCAAATCGGAGACACCAGGGAGCCGAGACTCAGCTCTACTGTGGCAGCTGTTGGTTCTGCTGTGTCGGCAGAATGGAGTGAGTGTCACCTCTGTGACGGGTGGGCAGGAGCGGGCGGAGCGAAATGTCAGCCTTCCTGGGACAAGTAAGATTTGGCTAATGGCATAATGATAAAAGGCAGCACGTGGCCCCCCTGTTTGCTCAGACATCAATGCCAGATCGCCAACACTGCCCTTCCCCTGCCCTTCCCCACTGGCCTGGTTGTTGTGAAGTTGTTGGGTTACTGCACCAGCCAGATCACACACCTATGACAGTGTGGGTGGTCCTGGCCGACCCTGTGGCACCTGAGTCTGAGATACAGCAATCCAGTGCTGGCCTCCCCATGAAGAAGGCAGGCCCTTCTGGGCCTAATTCTTCAACCTGGGCCGCGCCCCCGTGAGGATGAAGAGGGTTCTTCCTCCCTCAGGGTGACCCTCCTTGCCTTGCAGTCCATGGTGGGGTCCGACATTGCGGAGCTGTTGATGCAAGACTGCAAGAAGCTGGAGAAGTACAAGAGGCAGCCGCCTGTGGCCAACCTCATCAACCTGACCGACGACGACTGGCCAGTGCTCAGCTCCGGGACCCCCAACCTGCTCACCGGGGAGATTCCCCCCAGCATGGAGACGCCCGCGCAGATCGTGGAGAAATTCACCAAACTGCTCTACTACGGAAGGAAGAAGGCAAGTGCGCCCCCATCAGGCGTGTTTTAGAAAAGTAACCACTGGCGACCCCCACCACTCAGCCCTCCCCCCGGTTAGATGAGGAGTATATACTCATGTTATAGCACTTGAGTTCAGGAAGGTGCAAAGGAGAAACTAAAAGCACCCACAGTCCTAGCATTAAAAGATAACATCTGTTAACATTTTGATATATTTATTTCTAGCATTCTTCTATGCATACATAGTCAAAATCAAGTTAAATCTTATACAACTCTTTCTTTTCTTTTCTTTTTTTAAAGATTATGTGGTGAAATACTCCCATGAAATTAAAATGCTCTATTTAAACAATGGTTGGACAGTATTCCATCATCTGAGGGCGTCACATTCTATGTAAGCAGCGCATTGTTGACTGTGCCGACTACGTGGGCTGCCTGCGGTTTTGTTGCACGTTATAAATGATACAGTTTGAACACCTTGTCAAACAAAACTTGGGTGGATTTTTAGTATTTTTTTTAGGTTAGATTTCTAGAAGTGAAATGACTAGGTGGAAGGGCATACACTTTTTAAAAGCTCTTCACATATACACCAAATTAGTTTCCAGAAAGTTTGTTTACAAGCTAGACCCTGACCAGCTATATTGAAGGAGTGCCTGCCAATACTGAACACTTTTTTTTTTTTTACAAAATTTTTTCCTCCTTTTAAAAATTGATTTTAGAGAGGAAGGGAGAGGGAGAGAGAGATAGAAACATCCATGAGAGAGAACATTGATTGGCCACCTCCTGCATGCCCCCCACTGGGGATCAGGCCCATAACCTGGGCATGTGCCCTGACCGGGAATTGAACCAGCGACCTCTTGGTGCATGGGTCAGTGCTCAACCACTGAGCCACACCAGCCAGGCCAATACTAAACACTTCAATTCAGCTGATCAAGTGATGTCTTGTTTAACTTTTTGATATGTAAATTAGACAACTTTATTTTTATATTAACTTTTTAAATTGATGTCTATTTGACACATAAGACATTTAAAGTGTACATTATGATGATCTGGTGTATGTGTACATTATGAATGGGTCCCCCCATCTATTAATTAACAAATCTATCGCCTCATATTTTTATGCTGTTTGATTTTGAAGTTGAACTCCCATTTCACAATTCTTTTTTTTTTTTTCATCCTCACATGAGGACATTTTTCCATTTTTTGTGGGAGGGAGATTGAGTGGGAGGGAGAGAGAGGGAGAGAGAGAGAAACATTGATGTGAAAGGGACACATCGAGTGGCCGCCTCCCACATGACCAACCAGGGCCGGGGACAAACTGCACCTGAAGTACGTGCCCTTAGCGGGAACCGAACCCGGGTCTCTCGACGCTCTAACCGCTGAGCCAAATCGGCCAGGGCGACACAAGTCTTCAATTACCTTAAATATTTAAATGTATGATTACAATCAAGTTGATTTAAAAAATCCAAAAGATAAAAATGGATATAATGGAGAAATGGTACCCTCACACCCAGCTGCTTAATTTCTGCCTGAAATATCCGGAGATATATTATGCCTATATGTTGATTTCCTTCTTTTTAAATAGCATACTGTTTCCTATTCTTCACCTTCTGTTTTCCATTTAACAAAATGTCGTGGCAAATATTTTCTGTCGAAGGACAGACAGCACACATTTCAGGCTCGCAAGGACCCAGCCGTTGTGCTTTCCCGCGGAAGCTGCCCGAGGACTGTGCCCAGGGAAACTCAGCGGGCGGGGGCGTTCGGATCACATAGAATTGCCATGTGTAGTGAAATATTATTCTCTGTTTGAGTCCCCCCAACTCCTTTAAAGAAAATGTAAAAACTCTTCTTAGCTTCTGAGTTGAACTTGTCCTTCAGGACACATTTTGTCGACCCCCTGCATCATTGTGTCTGATGGCCGCACAGGTCTCTACAGATAAATGATAATTAATGAAGCCCTTACAGATTGACATTCAGATTATGTCCCTGCTGTTATAAACAATGCCGCTACGACTAACCCTTGTCATTGTGCCCTGGGTGAGACAATGCATGTGTGAGAAAGTTCTAGCAGTAGGGTGTTGGGTCAAAGGGCAGATGGTCTGATTTCGGTAGATGGTAACACCTTGCCTTGTTAGAGGTGGTACCGGTTTCCCCTGCTGCAGTGCATGAGGTGGTTGACCCTGGGCATGTGGATGAACCCATGGGTACGGAGGGCAACTGTGCCATCTCGCTCCTGGTATTTTGGGACTCAGCCCTCGGGGAGAGGTGCTGCTCTCATTGCTGGTGCTCAGGCTCAGAGCAGTATCATGTAACTGCGGCTTGTGCTAGGCGACCCGGAAGCTGTGTCTGGGGGAAGCTGTGTTTGGGGGAAGCTGTGTTTGGGGGAAGCTGTGTCTGGGGGAAGCTGTGTCTGGGGGAAGCTGTGTCTGGGGGAAGCTGTGTCTGGGGGAAGCTGTGTCTGGGGGAAGCTGTGTCTGGGGGAAGCTGTGTCTGGGGGAAGCTGTGTCTGGGGGAAGCTGTGTTTGGGGGAGCGGATGAAATCGCACACTGGAATTTGACCAAGTGGAGGCTGGAGAAAGGGGCGGCACAGAACACGAGCTGGTGGAAGTCCACTCCACGTGTGAGGCTCTGTCCCTGCGGAAGCCCCACCTGCGCAGGGCCAGTGGCACCCGGCACGGAGCGGGGGAGGGGACACTGAATGTGATGCTTTGTTTTCAGGAAGCCTTGGAGTGGGCCATGAAGAACCATCTGTGGGGCCACGCTTTGTTCCTGTCCAGCAAGATGGACCCGAGGACCTACAACTGGGTCATGAGCGGGTGAGCTGGGGCCTTGCAATGGAGACCACTGGAGCAGAGAGGCATCCCCCAAATGTGTGTGTGGGGCAGCGGGGAGAAGTGTAAGATGCGTGGAGAAGCCCCACGCTCCAGGCATCTTTCCAGTTTCCCTTTTCCGAGCCAGATGTATCCTTTCTCTTATCCAGCCTCTTATGATCTAGACACAGACACTTTCTTTCCACCTGCGAAGCTGAATAGAACATTTTAGTAACATTTCCCAGAGTCAGGGTTTCCAAAAAAGTAAGTGGGTTCTACCTCGTGGGAGCCTTCTTTCTTTGGGAGGAGCGGTTCTAGGCAGCTCCATCAGAGGGGGATAGGAATGGTCACTTATGGGGAACTGACTGGACCTGCGGACCGAGCGTCAGTGCACGCCTCCTGCTCAGTCTTGCGGTGGAGACGTGGGTGCTGAGAAGGTAGGGATGTGGGGTAGCACCGTGAGCGGTGGCAGGAAAGGGGTTTATGGGACTGGGAATTAGATCCCAAGTCTGCATCCAGGGCAGTGGGGGTTGATGAGGCTGAAGGGGTATGTTTAGTCGGAAACCATGCTGGCACACCAAGATCCGGGTGCCAGGTGGACCAGGACAAACGCCCAAAGCAGGATGAGATGGGGTGCAGGTGAGCACACAGCCAGGAGTTACGAATGAGGCAGATGGACCAGCAAAGGAGAATCAGGATGCGCTGGAGGCAGTAGGTGGAGGGCTGCTGGTGAGGGTCTCTGAGTAAGTCCTTTAGGCTGCGTTAGCATCCATGGGACAGATGTGGGGCAGGGGCGGGCGGGGAGGGGGCCTCCCAAGGAAGCAGGCTTGGGTCAGACAGTTAGAAGGATGATACCTCACGATGCTCATCTTGTGACGTTGCTCAAAGCTGTGAAGCTGCCCCCTTAGCTCCACTTGTACTTAAACTGGCCTGTGTCCTGTGAGCAGAGTTGGCCAAGATGATGGACACGCTGCTCCAAGTTCAGTCTGTGAGGCTAATGCTGCCGTGCCTCCGGGGAGCTGGTTCTTCCCGAGGCCTCCGAGGGGTCTCTTCATCACGCTAACCCTCAGGCTCCCCGGGGCTGGTGCCACCACTGTGCACCTCGTTCCGTTCAGGGACTGGCGTGGCCAAGGGCGCCAGAGCCTCATTGGGACACGTGCCCCCAGCCTGCGAGGCAAGGGCACCGTGAAGTAACAGGCGGGGTTCAGGATGATTCTCCTTCAGGTTTTGGGAACGAGTATCCCCCCACCCCACACTGTAGCATCCAGCTCGGCTACAGGATTTTGCCATTGGTTTTCCATGGCGCCCGGAGAGTGGTGGGAAGTATCTTTCTGAGAAGTACGCTTAAATCTCGTATCAGCTGTGGAATTGATCACTTCGCTGTTACGCATATTCCCTGGTTTGTCCTCACCAGAACCATTGCTGATCTCTGTCCGAGGCTCTGGTCAATGGAAATGGCTATTTTAGGGCTTAGTAGAAGCACTCCAGACCCAGGCTGGAGATGAGCCAGAAAAGGGCGCTGAGAGCTGTGGGCTTGGCGCAGAGGGCTGCTGCGGATGAGTAGGAGTTGAGGGGGCTGGAAAGGAGGGGCCCACAGGGAAGCGGTTTGGGTTCACTGCTGGGACTCTCCAGGGCTCTCCGAAATGTTGGTGGGTCACCTCCATGATGGGGGAAGTCCTCCAAAAGTGGGTTGTGACAAAGGCCCAACCAAAAAGCAAAGAGAAACTCTTGCTCTAAAAGCAGCTGCCCAAACCCAGTGAAATACACACGAGGCCTGGGCGTCACTGGCAAGGGGCTGAAGGCGCTCTCGGCTTGGTCCCCGCTGACGGCCCCTCTCTCCACAGCTTCACCAGCACGCTGGCGCTCAACGACCCTCTGCAGACCCTCTTCCAGCTCATGTCGGGGAGGATCCCACAAGCAGCCACGGTACCCTTTGTGACGGAAGTCCAGCACCCCAGCACTCCCAGGGCATAGCGGGTGGGGACTGCTCTGGAACGGAGGGGGTGGCTCTGGAGATCAGACATCAGAGTAACTGTTTGGGAATCACCTAGCACGTACTAAGACTTTGATGGTGCCTAATATTTCATGTACTGCACGGAGGCAGGAATTACTGCCCCTGTTCTGCAGACGTGAAAACCAAGGTGCACAGGTGGGAAATGACCCACAGTCACTGAGCTAGTGAGCAGTGGAGTCAGGATGGGCCAGGTCTGTCTGACTCCAAAGACCTGCGCTTTTCCCAATAGCACAGCTGCTGCCTTGTTGAATAACGAGAGACTTCTCCAGCCTTCCACAGGCTACTCTCTTAGCCTCCACTGCACCTTGACCCTTCAGAGCTGGACATCCCAGATTTAACACCTTGTCTAGAGTTGGATCCTGGCTCGGGAGACGTCTGAGGCCAGCTGGATGATTTCCCCATTTTAAGAGACTTGCTCTTTTTGCTCCAAGTATTCCTTCCTTATCTTTGAAGTCCAATAACTAGGATACATCTTGGTTGATGGCCTGGGTCAGTTTTTTTTTTTCTTGGGACACAACATGATCTTTTACTATGTGTATTCATATCTTACAGTTCAGAAAAATTTTCTTGAATTATATCTTTCAATATTTGTTTTGTTCCATTATTTTGGTTTTCTTTTCAGGAACTCCATTTATACACATTTCATACATATATGAACCATACACAGTATATATAATTTTCTCTTTAATTTAAACAACTTTTTACTGGTTTTATTTCTGCTTTCTTAATTTCCGCCCTGCATGTCCCTTATTGTGTTTTCATCAATGTCCTTTAGCTTTTATGTTCTTTTAGTGTTTGTCCTCGTTTCTTTGATTTTTCTCCCTGGTCTCTGCAGGTCACATTTACCTCCTGTTCCCACCACCTCTTTCCTGAGCACTTAGAACTCAGCTTTAGTTCCTTGCTTCACAGACATTTTTGTATTATTTACTTAAGTTCATGATGAAATATTTGGTGACAAGTCTTTGTTTTATGATAACTTTTTTTTTTTTTCTGGTGAATGTTCTTTCTACCCTCCATTCATTTTTTTTATGTCACCTCTCTCCCTTGATCGTTGTAGCATATTTGTACAGACTCTGCTTGTTCCTGTACACAGGCCGAGTCTTCTCTGGTCCAGGTATTTAGGGGAGGTCTGTGCGGGAGGGGCCCGGGCCACGCTCGGGCCACCTGGCGTCCCCGCCCGCCCTGGAGTTTCCGTGGTCTGTGCAGTGTGGCTCCTCCCCAGCCAGCAGAGACGGCCGTGGGGTCCTCTCGCTGGGCTGCTCTCTGCTCCCCCAGGGCTCCTCCCCAGCCAGCGGAGATGTGGGGTCCTCTCCCTGGGCCGCTCTCTGCTCCCCCCAGGGCTCCTCCCCAGCCAGCGGAGATGTGGGGTCCTCTCCCTGGGCCGCTCTCTGCTCCCCCAGGGCTCCTCTGTGACTCCGCCCCGTGGCAGCCTTTCCAGGTTTGTTTCTGCTGACACCTAGCTGTCGTGAAAATGGACCTCCTGCTTTTGCTTTTTTATTTTTCTTATTGCTTGTGCACAATGCCACACAAAGAAAAGGGCAATGGTGACTTTTGTGCCCACCGTCAAACCAGCGGGGCTCAGGGTCCTGCCCGGTGCCTGTGCTGGGCGGTGAAATCGCCTCCCGCCTTGGAAAGTGGGGACGATGCGGCGTGTGGTCCCTGGGCCTCGCGGCCACAGTAGGGGGGAGGGTTAGCTCACCGGTCCTCCCTCCGGGCGGGCGAGGAAACTGACGTGCCGATGCCGCACCTGATCCCGGGTCCGAGAGTTTCCTAGCATCGTAGCATCGGTGAAAGCTGGACTTGGTTCCGTGCAGTGAGCTGCGTAGTGGGAAAAAGCACGGCCACTGGGAAACGGCCGTGGGCTTGTCGCACAGGTGTGACCTAGACTCTGCTCCTCGCTGCTGTGTGACCTTGACCTTGTTCCTTCACCTCAGAGCCTCAGGTTCTCATGCTTGTGGGCGTTTGGATGCCTAACCAGTAGAGCTGTTGTAAAAATTAAAGGAGAGCGGACATCTGAACACATCAACCAACCACTATGCTTGGCTGGTTGAAGTTAGGTAATGTGCTCTCTCTGCATCTCTGTCTCCTGTGTCTCTATCTCTGTCTCTCTCTGCATCTCTACATCTGTCTCTCTCTCTCTGCATCTCTGTCTTTCTGTCTCTCTATCTCTGTCTCTCTCTGCATCTCTGTCTCCTGTGTCTCTATCTCTGTCTCTCTCTGCATCTCTACATCTGTCTCTCTCTCTCTGCATCTCTGTCTTTCTGTCTCTCTATCTCTGTCTCTCTCTGTATCTCTGTCTCTCTCCATCTCTATCTCTCTGTCTTTCTGTCTCTCTCTGCATCTCTGTCTCCTGTGTCTCTATCTCTGTCTCTCTCTGCATCTCTGTCTCCTGTGTCTCTATCTCTGTCTCTCTCTGCATCTCTACATCTGTCTCTCTCTCTCTGCATCTCTGTCTTTCTGTCTCTCTCTCTCCATCTCTATGTCTCTGTCTTTCTGTCTCTCTCTGCATCTCTGTCTCCTGTGTCTCTATCTCTGTCTCTCTCTGCATCTCTACATCTGTCTCTCTCTCTCTGCATCTCTGTCTTTCTGTCTCTCTATCTCTGTCTCTCTCTGTATCTCTGTCTCTCTCCATCTCTATCTCTCTGTCTTTCTGTCTCTCTCTGCATCTCTGTCTCCTGTGTCTCTATCTCTGTCTCTCTCTGCATCTCTGTCTCCTGTGTCTCTATCTCTGTCTCTCTCTGCATCTTTACATCTGTCTCTCTCTCTCTGCATCTCTGTCTTTCTGTATCTCTATCTCTGTCTCTCTCTGTATCTCTGTCTCTCTCTCTCCATCTCTATCTCTCTGTCTTTCTCTGCATCTCTGTCTCCTGTATCTCTATCTCTGTCTCTCTCTGCATCTCTATATCTGTCTCTCTCTCTCTGCATCTCTGTCTCCTGTATCTCTGTCTCTGTCTCTCTCTGCATCTCTGTCTTTCTGTCTCTCTATCTCTGTCTCTCTCTGTCTCTCTCTCTCCATCTCTATCTCTCTGTCTTTCTGTCTCTCTCTGCATCTCTGTCTCTGTATCTCTCTGTCTGTCTCTCTCTATTTCTCTGTCTTTCTATCTATCTGTCTCTATCTCTTTGTCTCTCTGTATCTCTCTCTCTTTGCATCTCTGTATGCCTCTCTCTCTCCACAGATCTGCTTTACAGTGGTTTTTAAAAATCACTTGTGGAGGAGACAGAAGAATGACTTCTAAGTTTTTGTTATTTTTAGAAAAAGCTTTTCTTTTGCTGGTCTCTTTAGTTCCAGCAAGAAGGGGCCTGGCTCCCATAAGACAGGGATAATAATAGTACCCGAGGCCTGTGGCTGTCCCTAGGAGAGACGCCTAGCACAGGGTGTGGCTCGTGGTCAGAGCAGTAAGCGAGAGCTGCTCTTAGTATTGTGACTTATTATTATTAGCCTTCTCATTCACACTGCGTTACCCAGATACACAAGAATAACTGTGAAATGGAGTCGGATAAAGCATCTTTTGTTCCTCGGGATAATTACAAAGACCAAGCAGTTGTGAATTGTTTTGACCTCCACATCTTAGCTATTATTGTCAGTCTCCTGCTCACCCACTTGAAGTAACAAATGGAAGACAGGCCGGTCTGCAAATCACCTCTTTTCTTCGCTGAGCGTGCGTGTGTGTGTCTTTACACCTACATCTAATTTATAAAGTGCAAACCAAGTGTCAAGCGCTATGCTGTGTGCTTTACATAGCCATCTTATTTTATTATCAACAATAACCCTTTAAGGTAGAAATTCTGATCTCCATTTACAAGATGAAGAAACAATGGTTTAAACACATTAAGAAACTTGCTCAAGGTCACACAGCTAGTAAGAGGCAAGACGCCAGCTGAACCCAGGGCCCATGTTATTTCTGTGACAGTATGTTGTTTCTTTATTGATGTGTCCTGCCCTGAAATTCCCCTTCATTCAGGAGAAGGGTGGCCCTAGGGCCACATGGTAGGAAAAGCACCATTTGTGTGGGACTTGGCCCTACTTCCATGTCTTTGTTTATACTCTCCTGCCCCCTGCTGGAGATCATCTGCCCCTGCATTGTCACCAGAAGGAGGGGACGTAGCCCTTGGCTGGGAATGAAGGGGTTCAGTGCTGGCTGGGCCACTTGCTTGGGTTTTGCATTCTCCAAGTGGAGATAGAAATTGGATTTCATAGGGTTGTTGCGAAGATCAAATAAGGCGATGTGTGTGAGAGGGCTTTGTGAAACCAGAAAACAGCCATTTGTAAGGTATTAAGGAGCCCGGTGTTCTCCTGACTTCTAACTGGCTAACGTGGGCTCTTCTCCTCGTGAACCCAGGATGTTTGATCTTCCTTCTCCCTTGGAAACATCAGAGTTTTATTTTCATTTTGTCCCTAGTTACTTGGAACGGGGGCACCAGCAAGACTTTTGCAACTTGGTGACTAACAGTGTCACTTTATTTATCTGTCTTATCCCTGTGTATGCGGATGCGGATGTGTACACGTCTGTCTGCCTATCCATTGTTCTCGGGGTTCTGCTTTTTTAAATAGAGTTAATCAACAAGGCAGCATTGCAGGCCGTGTAGTGGGCGTTCCCAGAACTCCTCCAAACCAGGACATAGACAACCACCTTCCCTACCTCCATGCTGGCCACTGCCACTTTATTCAGTAAACCTTCATTTCTCTCTGCTGCTTTTCAGTGTTGTGGGGACAAGCAGTGGGGAGACTGGAGGCCTCACTTGGCTGTGATTCTGTCGAATCAGGGCGGGGACCCGGAGCTGCACCAGCGTGCGATCGTCACCATGGGGGACACCCTGGGTAAGCGGAGGCCAGCGTCGTCTCCTCCTCCCCTCTAGGGTAGCCCAGACCCGGCAGATCCCGTGCGGAGGTTCTCAGGTTCTGTTCAGGGCCCGGGCCCAAACCTCCAGCTTGCCTCTGACCCAGGAGCCTCTGGCGTGGGGACAGGAACTCCAGGGAGAGGAGTGTCCTTCTTGCCTCCCCGTTTCCCAGAGTTCCTGTGGCAAGCCGGGCTCGAGCCTGGGTTCCGCGGCTGTCGGGGCCCCGCAGCAGGAGATCCGCATCTTGCTCACACTTCCCCGAGGATGAGTTAGGACGGGGCAGGTCTCCTGCTGCGTCAGTCCCGCAGGGACCCCGCTCAGCCAGAGAGGAAATTCTGTTGTCCCCGAACTACCCTGGCTGGTCATGGAGTCTTTATTTCTAGCCTCTCTCTGGGATCATGGCCTTATCTACACTGAGGGGCTAGTGAGCGTTTCCGATCAGCGGCTCTCAGGTTTGGCCAAGGGTGGAACGTGGAGAAACCATGGTTCTCTTTGTGGGACTCTGAAATACTGCTCTGTTCAACTGAAAATAGCTCTGCGAGGTTGTGCCCGCCAGAGGGCGGGGCACCCAGCAGCCGGGCACAAAGGGAGACGGACGTTGGTTGAGCTCTTCTTGGGTGCCAGGCGCTGTGCTGGGTGCTTTACCTACTCGAATGAACTCAGTTGTGAGGTGATGGAAATTGCATGGGAGGACATTTTAAACCTGGGCATGGTTTGGTAATTAACGTGATTTTCATGAGCACTGGGCAAGCCTTCTATTGTTTGATTGTGGCAGGCAGTGCGTTAGTGCCCCCAGAAGCCCGGTTTAATAACTGTTCCTCCCAATGGTCCACTATTTTGCTCAGGTGTAGACACGTCTACTCACTTCTCACCCTCAGGAAGGACTGAAATGCTTAGAAAACCCCTAATGAAAAATCCATTAGGGAGCAGGTGAAATAGTGCCTTATTCTGGCTGAAGAGAATGGAAATGTAATGTCTGAGGCCAGAAACGTGGTGGGGGAGGGACTGAGTGGGGCTTGGGGTCTGTGAGGCTTCTCCCCTCTGACTTCTGAGCCCACTCTTCATCTGTGTCCATTCCACCCGTGGATGGGCACCCGCATGGGCGTGTTCATGACTGGGGCTTGTCCTCCTGCAGCTGGGAAGGGGCTGGTGGAGGCAGCTCACTTCTGCTACGTCATGGCTCATGTGCCCTTCGGCCACTACACTGTGAAGACAGACCACCTGGCCCTGCTGGGCAGTAGCCACAGGTACGTGATCTGGGGCAAGGCAAAGGGGAAGGGTGTTTTCTAGGGGGTTGCTTGAGCCCTTGTGGGGTTGCACGGCTCCATTTCCCATTTTCTTGTGCGAATTTTAACTGCCACTGGTCTCTGCTCTGGGATTGTTTTCTGCACGGGTCTGGGCAAGGAGATGCCCAGCAGGTGCCACACCACATCGCCAGGGGGCCTTTGGTGGGAGCTGGTGCCTTTGTATTGTGTTGTGTGCCTGTGGCCACTTGGTGGCGCCCTGGCTCCATGACCAAGGACGGTCTCTCACTAAATTTAGTGTGAGCACCTTGCAGCTCTGTGTTAGGCAGCCCTGGGCAAAACTGGAAAGTGGAAGAAATTTATGTTGAGCTCCTACACCCCTACTCTCTTGGTGCATAAGCTACTCAAAGTTCCACTTTTCACTTATTCTCTGTTGGCTGTAACCTCAGGCTTTGCACACAGGAGGACTTTAATAAGCCCCCTAGACAGTGAAAAAATGAATGAAAGACCCGTTCGCTCCCTGGCCCTTCCCGTTCTGGGCCTCTTTCTCCCTGTCCTTGTAATGATTAAGGTCTCCCGAGCTCTTACACGCGCCACTCATTTTATTTGCACTATTCCTTCCATCATTACACTCACCCTATGGAGAAAATGTTATTTTATCTTTATGGGGTGGGAAACCAAGGCACAGAGAGGTTAAGCACCTTGTCTAAGATAGCACAGCTGGTTTGGGGTCAAGCTGGACTTGACTTTTAACTGCTGCACCAAACTGGCTGCAACTATAGAAACACACGTCTTGTTGCCTGTTGTCAGGCCCTGGGCTGGTGGCACGTGGGTAGCTTGTCAGAGAAGCCCATCTGTGCCCAACGGGACAGTCAGAGTATGCGGGTTAATACGTGTCCCTGCTATGTTTATGTCATACAGGAAATGTCTGGGGATAGGATTGTAACCCCAGGGGTGGCCCTGGTGACTGTGGCAAGCTGTTGAAGGAGTGATTTGGGGCACGAAGGACTCTGATGGCCCTTGAGGTCACAGTCATCCAACCTGCTTCCCCACTGGGGGCATGAACACCCAGCGTAGGGCCCGTCATTGAGTTTCTGCCCGACAGTGCTCCCTGTCCCTGCCGTGCGGCTGTGTTCATTGCTCCTGGACCGTCACATGGCTCCCTCTCTGGTGCCCTTTGGCTCAGGCTGGGCGTGGCCTGTGACAGGTGCACTAGGCTTTCAGGGCACTCAGGTGAGCTTCCAGGGTGTTTCGGAGGAGGACCCAGTGCTCGGCCCAGTGGGAGGGAGAGCGGCCTGCTCCACCTGGGTCTGACCCCCCCCCCCCCGTTCCTGGGGGCTGGTGAGGGCTGTCTGTTCCTCCCCCTGGAGCAGAGGTGGAGCAGAGGGGGAGCAGCCTTCACTCTGGGGCCCAGGTCTCTTTCCTCTCCAGGCCAGAAACTGCCACGGATGGGTGCGGCTGTGTCCACCTGTCTCCTAGGATTGAACCCTCCTGCCCCAATCTCTTGTATTGTTATTCCCTGGGTTCAGTCAGGAGTTCTTGAAATTTGCCACCACTGAGGCGATCCAGAGGACGGAAATCTTCGAGTACTGCCAGATGCTGGGCCGCCCCCAGTCCTTCATCCCGTCGTTCCAGGTAACTGACCCCCGCGGCCGGCCCCTGAGCTGAGGCGGCGGCTGCGGGCAGCTGGGATTTCCGCTCTGCTCTGCGGCGCGTACTAGCTGGGCTGGGTCTCCTTCCACCTTGTCCTGGTTAGCGTGAGTGTGGGAAGGGTTAGCATCTCTGTCTAGATCCCTCAACCTCTGCACTTTGAGATACGAAAGCAGAGAGCTGCAGGGACCTCTGCTGGAGGTTCTGGTGATGGGGACCCTGCCGGGGTCCTGGCTGGGCAGCCAGCTGCAGGGGCCTCTGCTGGAGGTTCCCGCCTGGTTCCTGGTGATGGGGACCCTGCCGGGGTCCTGGCTGGGCAGCCAGCTGCAGGGGCGTCTGCAGGAGGTTCCCGCCTGGTTCCTGGTGATGGGGACCCTGCCGGGGTCCTGGCTGGGCAGCCAGCTGCAGGGGCGTCTGCTGGAGGTTCCCGCCTGGTTACTGGTAATGGGGACCCTGCCGGGGTCCTGGCTGGGCAGCCAGCTGCAGGGGCCTCTGCTGGAGGTTCCTGCCTGGTTCCCGGTGATGCGGATCCTGCCGGGTCCTGGCTGGGCAGCCAGCTGCAGGGGTGGGCTGCTGGCCCTGTGCCCGCTCCTGGGCTGACCGGCCTCTCCGGCCTCTCTGGGGCTCCTCTGTCTTCTAATGCTGGATTTCCTCCCTGCTCCTCCTTGGTCCTCACCTTCTTCTTGCCCCCAGGGCTTCTGCTGTGCTGAGTGGCTTGTCCTACACAGGTGCTAGCCTGTCCTCCCAACTTCTGCTTGATGTCCTGTTGTCACTTTCAGTTCATAAAGACCCCTTCAGTGCTGCTTTGGGTGATCCAGTGACAGCGACACCCATGTGCACCCATGCACACACGCGCACACACACACGCACAGATGCACGCACGCACGCACACATGCACACACATGCACAGATGCACACACACACGTATAGATGCACACACACGTGTGTGCACACACACATGCACACATGTGCACACACACGTACACAGCACAACCTGGAACACAAAGCAAGCAAAACCTTGAAAATGAATGAATTACTGTACACAGAAGAACGACCCTATTGCTATCTTCTTTCAGAGTTTTCCCAAGGACTCGCTTGTCCAGAAAAGCCTCCCTGACCAGCTCCTTGGGGTGCAGGCCTCCGTCTCGCTTCCTTTCCCTTCTGGAACCAGCCAGCTGTCATGGGCTCTGGGCTGGTGGCAAGGAGATTAGCTAGTTTCAGTGAACGTGCTCTCCGTGCCTGGCGCTGGGCGACTATACTTCTAGAATGTTATTTCTAATCCCGCGACGCCGACGTGACTACCCCCCTTTCGCAGAAGGGGAAACTGAGGCTCAGAGCTACCGACTCATGTCTCCTGCATAGCATTTGTTCTAAGTACTTTGCATGGATGATCTGATTTAAAACGTACACAACCAATGGGTAGATAGTGTGAGCATCCTCACTTGTGTTGAGACAGGCACAGAGAGGTGAGTGACTAGCCAGTGTTCGGGTCTGTCTGACTCCCAAGCCTCGTGCCTGTCCGCCCCGCCCTGTGTGCATCTGTGACTGCTCACCCTCAGCTGTCTGCATGCTCCCTGGGCTTTCGAACCCTGCACCAGCGCGGTTCCTTCTCCTTCTATGTGTCCCCCTGGCGCCTGGTCCTGTGTGCCACGGACACCGGTTTCCCAGGGATAGGCTGCATTTCCATGGTGACCCGGGCCTAGGGAGACTGAGTGGATGTGACTTCCATCCCTTTCTCTAGGAGCTGCACAGACAGAATGCCCCAGATGGCACAGAGCCCTCTGAGGTTTAGATGCCAGAGTGAGAGGAAGCTGGCAGTCAGCTGACTTCCAAGAAGTCTTATCTACATTCCTCTCTTCCTGTTCCTGCCTGGGCGGACCCGTCACTGGCCCTGTTCCTCTTTGCAGGTATACAAGCTCCTTTACGCTTCCCGGCTGGCAGACTACGGCCTTGCGTCCCAGGCCTTGCATTACTGTGAGGCCATTGGCACGGCCCTCCTCAGCCAAGGCGGGAGCAGTCACCCCGTGCTGCTGGGGGAGCTCATCAAGGTGAGCTTCTCAAAGGGTTCTCCGCAGATGCTTTATCTTCAGCTTTCAGAGCGGGCGACTGCAAAGCAGCTTAGACCCACATTTCACCTCCTTTGAGCCTGCTCTAAACAGGCGCCCGTGCTGTCTTTGACCGTGCGTGCATGCCCGGGTGTGATAAGCCGAGGCCTGACACTGTGCGAGGAAGGAGGCTGTGGGCGAGGGGCACAGGATGGGGCACTGGGAGCCAGGTGTTTGCAATGCTAGGCATTCGTTCTCGCATCTGCTTTCCTGATATTGAAAACTGCATGTTCGGGTGAAACATTCTAATTATAAAAGCAGGGCTTAGGGAATATGTTTTAGTGATTAAAACAGGAACTCCCCCTTATTAACATGCTTTTAAATGCACGGACTACTTTATCATGTATGGGATATGCTTAAAAACAAAACAAAACAAATCAACTTTTAGTTCCTGGGGAAGAAAACAATCAGGCACAAAGCTGTTCCAATTAAATGAAGAAAAAGGCACCCCTCAGTGTTCGCTCTGCTTCAGACCAGGCCCGAGTGCCGGGCTCTGTGACCAATAAAGTCGGTGGTGCTGAGCCCCCTTTCCAGAGATTTCCACCAACAGGACGATCTCGGCGGTGAGCTCAGGGACCCAGAGGGAGGAGCAGGAAAGTTTTGAAACAATAACAGAATCGAGTCCTGCGATACAAAGTAGTCCCTGGACCAGGCTGCATGGGTGTCACCTGGGAGCTTGTTAGGGATGCAGAATCTCAGGCTCCACCTAGACTTCGGGCATCAGAATTAGCGTTGTAACAAGGTCCCAGGTGGTCCCATGAGCGCGGGAGCTTGGGAGGCACTTGTGGGACGTGGAGCTTTGCAGGGACATACAGCCAGGTAACAGCTTCCCATATTTCACTTAGTATTTAACACCAGGGTGGGTTAATTGCTTAGGTGTGTTGCCATTTTGGGAAGATATCTGCTGGATTCGCTCTCTCTGGATTAGGCGTTATAATCTAATTTACAAGTGGGTTAGGGCATGTTCTCCTTTTCCCTTATTGCATCTGTCCCCATTTTCTTTCCCTCTCTTACTTCCCTCCCTCTGTCTCCTTCCCCTGCTTTCTGCTCCGACCTGTCTGGACACCTGGCACAGCTCGCAGAGAAACTCAAGCTGTCAGATCCTCTGGTGACGGAGAGACGCCGCGGAGGGAGGGACCTGGAGCCAGACTGGCTCCGGAGCCTGCGGGAGCAGCACAAAGAGCTGGTGGTGAGTGAGGCAGCGGTGTCAGGTGCAGGGGGAGTGAGGCAGCAGGGGGTCAGGTGCAGGGGGAGTGAGGCCGCAGGGGGTCAGGTGCAGGGGGAGTGAGGCAGCAGGGGGTCAGGTGCAGGGTGAGTGAGGCGGCAGGGGTCAGGTGCAGGGTGAGTGAGGCGGCAGGGGTCAGGTGCAGGGGGAGTGAGGCGGCAGGGGTCAGGTGCAGGGGGAGTGAGGCGGCAGGGGTCAGGTGCAGGGGGAGTGAGGAGGCAGGGGTCAGGTGCAGGGGGAGTGAGGCGGCAGGGGTCAGGTGCAGGGGGAGTGAGGCGGCAGGGGTCAGGTGCAGGGGGAGTGAGGAGGCAGGGGTCAGGTGCAGGGGGAGTGAGGAGGCAGGGGTCAGGTGCAGGGGGAGTGAGGAGGCAGGGGTCAGGTGCAGGGGGAGTGAGGCGGCAGGGGTGAGGTGCAGGGGGAGTGAGGTGGCAGGGGTGAGGTGCAGGGGGAGTGAGGCGGCAGGGGTGAGGTGCAGGGGGAGTGAGGCGGCAGAGGGTCAGGTGCAGGGGGAGTGAGGCGGCAGAGGGTCAGGTGCAGGGGGAGTGAGGCGGCAGGGGTCAGGTGCAGGGGGAGTGAGGCGGCAGGGGTTCAGGTGCAGGGGGAGTGAGGCGGCAGGGGTCAGGTGCAGGGGGAGTGAGGCGACAGGGGTCAGGTGCAGGGGGAGTGAGGCAGCAGGGGGTCAGGTGCAGGCCGCAGTCTCCCTCCGGGCCCCCGGGCCCCCGGGACACAGAGGACGCAGGCACTGACCCTGGCAAGTCCCCGCCCCAAGGAGGGCCATGGGACCCTATCACCCATGAGGCCCGGCCTGACCTGGGAAGGGGTGGCACTCAGCTTCCCGGCACTGCCTCTCCTGGGCCCGAGCCTCTTCCTGTGTTTGCTGGTGAGATGGTGGGGCTCTTTCCCAAATCCTTCCTGCCACCCTGTCTGCGGCCCCAGAAAATCCGTTCCAGGACGATTACAGCTTCACCTCGCTGCCGGGAACAATGGATCACAGTGTTACTTTCATGTGATGTAGGACATTTGCTTAAAAGATTTCCTGGGACTTTTCTTTGTGTTCCGACAATTGCAAAGCTGCCGGTGGTAATTCCAAGCATCACCGGGTAGGGTTTCCCCCCTGTTCTCTCCCTCACTCCCTCTGAGAAGGGACCGGGGGGGGGGGGGGGGGGGGGGGGCTTGTAAGGCACCACAGCCCTTACTCCCTGCACGTGTGGCCTGCGCTGGTCCGGGAGTGCCCTGGGCCCTGGGCCCTGCTCTGAGCAGACGGGGAGGCAGGAAGGGCTGGGGCTGCAACCCCCTCCTGACATCCCCGCCCGCCCCCAGCATCCTGCTGAGGTTCCTCCGCTTGTCATTCCCTCTGGTTTCTTTTTTGACTTAGTTTATTTTTTTTAAATCCTCACCTGAGGATATTTTTTTCCCCATTTATCTTCAGATAGAGCGGGAGGGAGAGAGAGAGAGAAACATTGATGTGAGAGAGACACATCGACTGGTTGCCTCCTGCACGACCCCCACCAGGGCCGGGGACTGAACCAAAACCTAGATACGTGCCCTTGACCGGAATCAAACCCGAGACGTTGGTCTGGGCTGACGCCCTAACTGCTGAGCCAAACCAGCCAGGCTTGACTTAGTGTTTAAACCATTGTTCCCTGTTCTCGTTTTCATTTGTGTTGCTTAAAGGAGTTTCTTTTATTTCAAATAGCCAAAGGCATCAGGAGACACTGGGGATCCCCGCTCTGCTCACTCAGATATTTCGGGAGCCCGCGGAACAGCAGGTACCCAAACTGAGGGGCCGAGTGCGTAGGTAGCTGATGGGGATCTGGCTGTAGGAGGCACCATCACTTCAAACATGTCTGTCCCCCCTTCCTGGAGCGTCTTCCTGCTTGTGTTGGTCTGACGCCTCGGTCCGGGCACCTTCTCTGCAGCCCCTGCGGCCGGTCGCCCTGACTCTTCTGAGTTCCCACATAGTTAGAGTTTCTGCTTCACATTCAGGTTAAAACAATTTTTTTTCCAGTATGTTTTTGCTGATTTCAGAGAGAGGAAGGGAGAGGGAGCGTTAGACACATAGATGAGAGAGAAACATCGACTGGCTGCCTCCTGCACGCCCCCTCCTGGGATCGAGCCAGCAACCCGGGCACGTGCCCTGACCAGGGATCTAAGTGGTGACCTCCCAGTGCACGGGACGATGCTCAACCGTCTGAGCCACACAAGCGGGGCCACGTTCAGGTTTTAATACTTGTTAAACCCTATTGTTATCTAATGTTTCAATTCTGTTGCTACCATCTCCCCAGCTGAATACATTTCCTGAGGCCAGAGATGGTGCATGACCTCTATTTCACCTTCGTGTTGGGGACACTGGCAGCGCCCAGATTTCTGAGCTGTCAGCTGCCACGTACACGTGAATTGTGTTCCAGGGCGATTCAGCTCATGCCCCTTCCCCTCAGATGCCTCCGAGCGCTGGGGCCGCACACGCTGCCCCCCGTGAATTCTGCGCCCTTCCCCCAAGTTGCACCCATTGTGGAGTCAGAACAAGGCCTCACCTCTTGATTTCTGGCCATTTCCCAGCCTTGGGCTCTTCCTCCGGGGCCGCGACGTGGGAGGCAGACAGAGCAGGTCGTGGCTTTGCTGCCATGTCGCAGAATCTGTGAAGGTGAAGGGCTGGAGGACGGCCTGGCTGGGCGTCTCTGAACGGCCCCTTCTGCAGGAAGCAGCTGTGTCTCCTGTCACCCGACAGAGCAATGGCTCAGCCGCCCACGGCAATCCCCTGACCTTGGCCCAGTCGGTACACGTCTCACCAGCAGGATTTCTGCGGCCTGGTTGACATGTTCACTGAGAGCTTTCTAAGTTTTACATACCCGAGCCCACGAGGAAACCCTGGAAGGAGGAAGTGTACCCGAACATAACAAAGCGGGGCACTCCGTCAGGTGGTGATCTCTGCCCTCCCAACCACTGGTCTAAGGCTCAGAGATCATGCGAGGTGGCGAGGGAAATGCTTGTACAAACTGAGTCACGAGCAGCGAGCGGTGTCATACTGCGGCTGTGCGTGGTTGTCACTGCACTCAGGGCTGCCACGTCACGGGGCCTGTCCCGTGGCTGCTTTCCAGAGTGGGAAGGGCTGTGCGCGGTGTGACTGGGCCCTGCAGTGCGACATCTCAGGTCTCACTTCTTTCTCTTTGCCCTGTGTCCGTAGAAAACACTTTCTACCAGGATCTTTCGGGACGTCAAGGTGACTCAGGAGCTGCTGGGGACCCCTCAGCCCAGTGGCCAACAGTGGAGCCAGTGGGCCCGGCCTGGTCCAGCCCACAGCAGCCCCTCCCCCTCCAGCCGGGCTCCTACCCAGCGGGAGATTTGGGACAGCCAGGGGTCCCGGTGCCTCTTTACGCGGTTCCTGAGACCCACCTGCCAGGGATCCGTGGCAGCGTGGCGGCGGCAGAGGCTCCTGGAGGGAGGACCTGGGAGGAGACCCAGCGGACATACCTGCCGTCTGGTAAGACCAGTGCTGGGCTGGCAGCTGGGGTGAGGAGGTCTGGAGGGAGGAGCAGATGGGGAGAGGCAGGGACCAGTGGGAGCTGGCAAAGACCTGACGGGGGTGTGCACGTGAAGGAGGGCTCCTGGGTGTCAGCCCCGGTGCCGGTGTTCTGCATCCATCTGGGGGGATTGCTCTCTCCCTCCCACTCAGCTCCCTGTGGGGACAAGCATGGCGAGACCAACTGCAGCCCCTCCTGCCCTCCCGGGGCCACAGTTTCTAGGAGAGAGGCTGCAGGGTGGGGAAGGGAAGGAAGTGCTACACGCACCTGAGCTGCAGTGAGAGTCAAGTGCTACTGAAGTCCGAGGGCTCCTGTCCTGGTCCCAAGTGTCTTAGGCCCATCAGGCCTCGGACAGCAGGGCTGAGTGTGAGCAACGCTGAGCGTCTGCAGGGACGTGCTGGAGGCCAGCGGGAGGATTAGCTCTGAGACCTTCTGAGACAAGGGCCTGTCCAGCCAGGACGCTCAGGTGGGGGAACGGCTGCGGAGGACCCGTGTCCTGTGGCCCGACTTCTAGGGCTCCTCAGGAGCGACCGTGGCGTTCAGGGTGGAGGAGGGGTGAGCAGCCTGTCCTGCAGCGGCTGGAATTGAGGGCCAGCGAGTGGACCTCATGTTGGCTGGGATCCACTCGAGGCTGTGGGCTCGGAGCCCAGCTGCTTGGTGGTTGGGAAAGCCAACTGTCCCCATCGCCCTCCTGCGGACAGACAGGAAAGGCTCACCCCCAAGTCACAGCTCCTGTTTCTGTTGGCGCCACAGGAGAGAACACAGTGTCTCAAGAACCCGTCCAGCATCCTGACGGTCCAGAGGTGGTTTCCAAACCCCAGGTGAGAGGGGGCCCTCCAAGCTCAGGTTTTCCCAGCCCCGGTTTCTGAGCCACATCCAGACTCCCTCCTCGAGCAGCACCAGCTGACCCTTCCGGTGGCACCTGGCTTCTCGCTTCCTCCTACACCAAGTCCGGACACTCCGTCCCACCAGCCTGTGTCCCGGGGCGGGCCAGCAGGTCGGCTTGTCTGACTCCCACACCCCGCCCCACCCTGGAGGGCTCGGCTGTTTCTCCCTTGATTGTCCTTTCCAAGCAGGGTGGACAGCAGCTGCGCCCCCTGCCCAGTGAGCTGAGGGCTGAGGGGACCCCGCCTAGCGGACCAGTCCGTCCAGTGGTCGATGGACGTTCCCTTCCCCCGCAGGGGCAGCCCTGGCCCAGATTTAAGTTGCTCTTCGGCTTTGCCTGGTTGGGGGGGTCACATTGCATAAATTTCTCAAATAGTGACCAGCTATGGGTCTTAAAAACTTTTATACTTGACTTGTTCCAACGGAAAGAGTAGTATATTATTGATAGAAAACTTGAAAAAGAATCAATCAAATATCACTCATAATCCCAAAGTCAAATATTTTGGTTATTTTCTATCAATACTTTTTCCATATATATATATATAGGGGTGTGTATACACACACACATACACACATACATATATACACACACATATATACACACATACACAGAAATATGTGTTTTTAAATGGTTAAGAACGTGTGTATATGAAGCTTTAGTTCCTATTTGTTATTTAACACTATAAAATGAGATTTTTCCATGTCATTCATAAATATGATTTTTAATATTGGTGTGGTAAAATCTATTGTATGAAAACTCCATCATTCATTCATTCATTCATTCATTCATTATTTATTCATTCATTTGCTCATTTGTTCATAAATCCTGGGTTCTCACAAGGTTCACAGTTACAGGGGCTGAGGACGCCCAGGGAACTGGACAGTCTGCCCAAGGTGCTTCCGTGTCTGGATGTGACAAACTGAACAAGTGTAGGCAGGAGGGATTTTAGTTCACGGGGTGGCAGGGCAGGTGTCCCTGCGGAGGCCTTGAGCGAGGTGGGAGTGGAGCGTTACATGAACTAGGTAAGTACCTAGGGAACAAGGGTTCAGGCAGAGGGAGTGGCGAGAGCAAAGGCCCTGAAACGGGACTGAGTGCAGTCGAGGAAGGGCGAGGCACCTGCATCTAGAAACCGGAGCGATGGGTGAGCCCTGCAGAGCCAGGCCTGGGAAGGGGCATTTCAGTTTATCGTTTAACATTTCCAACGTGTTGCTTTTCTTTTCTTTCTTTCCTACGCTTTCTCTCTCCTTCCTTCCTTCCTCCATTTCCCCTCCCTCCCTTTAGTCCTCCCTCCCTCCCTTCTTTCCTCTCACATATTAAACACAATGATGAGCATCCTAGTATATAAGCCCTGATCTCTTTCTTGAATTATTTAATTAGTAGAAATCCCCAGAAGAGAGCCAGCCCGCCTAAGTGTGGATCCTTAGCTGCCATTCCCTACTGTGTGACCTTTCACAGGCTACGTAACCTTTCTGAGCCTTGGTTTCCTCATGTGGACTGGGAGGTAATAGTACCTAACTCACAGGATTGTCGTAAAGATTAAGTTTTCACAATACCTACAGATGCCAAATCCGCATGTTGTGCACCTGAAACTAATACAATGTGGCCTGTCAATGACACCTTCAGAGAGAAAGGTGACACGAATCACTACATACAGCCCCGAGAACAATGTCTGGCACATGGTGGATACTATACTCATTCGGACACAATATTAGCTTTTCTTATGGATTGCCAAAGTATTTTCCCAAGGTTGTACCAATTATGGGTTTTTTGGACAGTGCGATATATAACACAAAAGGACAAATGTTGTATGATTCCATTTATGTGGGACAACACATAGAGTAGAGGTTACCGGGGCAGGGAAGGGGGGAGTTAGTGTTTAATGGACACAGAGTTTCTGTGGAGGTTACTAGAAGTTCTAGAAGCGGCGATGGCTGTACGGCATTGTGAATATACAAATGCCATGGAATTGTCCACTTAAAAATGGTTAGATGGGTAAACTTTATGCTATGTACATTTTACTGCACAAAACGGACATAAAGGGGTGTTTTGCTCCCCTCTGGTGCATTTGCTCACGGGTGACCTTGAGCAAGTCTGCTGGGAAATGGCCTCTAGGGGGAGTAGGTCTGGAGGTGGTCACACGGTCGGTCCTTTTGGCTCTGCGGGTCTCTGGGTGTTTCCTGGCCCTCTTCAGCATTCCATACCCCTGCTCTGGGCCTTGGTATGGTTCCGGAAAACTGATGCTTCTAGAGAGAGAGCACAGCATCCAACCCCCCAGACTCAGGGCTGACGTGAGAACCGTGGGTGGGCTCTGGCTTTGCTCTAGATCTTCGGCAAGTCGTTCCACATGGCTAAGCCCTACTTGACATCAATAAGGTGTGACCCCCAGTGAGCACATGGATGTGGTGAGCGGGTCAGGTGAGGTGACGCAGTGCAGTAAAGGTACCTTGTAACCTGTCGGGGGCTACACAGTGTCAGTTCTTGTCTGACTCCAGGTGCCACCGACCCCCAGAGCACGGAGTGTTTCCGAGAGTTCCACCGGCTCAGCCAAGGAGGAGGAGGGGTCCTCGGACGAGACAGATCAAAAGTCTTCTGCGAACACCGCACAGAGAGAAAAGGTAGATGGGGAGGGGACATGGGTGGGGGCAGATCTTGTCTTCCCAGCAGACTGGGCGTTGGCTGTGTCCCCTTCCTCTCAGATTCCTTGGGAGAACCGCACCTACAGCCCCTCAAACTCCCTCCCCCCAGGGCTCAGGCTTTGGCTGGTTCAGCTGGTTTCGCTCGAAGCCCACCCACAGCGCGTCCCCCTCCGGAGACGAGGACTCTGACAGCCCCGACTCGGAGGTAACCGGCCCTTCCTCAGCTCGGAGCCCAGGGCTGGCGCCCGCTCTCCCCCATCTGGATGAAACGGGTTTTGCGAAGGGACAGAGGGTGCACGAGGGGGAGGCAGGTGATGAAGGCCAGCGATAATTTGGGCTTGTGGGGCGGGGCGGTGCACAAAGGAAATGGAGTTTGGGGCGAGAACCCCCAGCAGGCTGCGGGGGAGGCCCCTGTGGGTGCTGCAGGAACCCGAGCAGGCCCACATGGACTCGTGGACTCCAGGGCGGCCCTGCTTTCTCCCCTACGCAGGAGACCCCCAGAGAATCTCCCCCCCAGGCTGGCTCGGGCCTGTCGCTGACACCCCTCCCAGAGCCCCAGTCTCTGCCGGGCAGCAGCGCCTTCTCCAGGGGCACAGGTACAGCAGCTGCATGTGCTCTGGCCACCCGTGGTCTCCGTGCTCCCCGCGGTCCGGGGCACTCTCTGGGAGGGGGGCTCAGCCCGCGCAGGCAAACAGCTCTGACCTTGCTCTCTAGGTGGGGGCGGAGTCCAAGGACCGGCGTCCAGTGGGGGAGTCGCTGAGGTCACCGGGGATGGAGGCCCCTCGGGGCCCCAGGTGAGCAGCCCGAGGCTGGGCCCACTCACGGGCCATGTGTGGGGCGCCCCTCTGTGAGTTTGCCGGGGTTGCCACAAGGGGTCACCGACTAGGAGACTTGAACCGACGGAAATGTGTTTCCTCACTGAGTCTAGAGAGCTGAGATCGAGGTGTCGGCAGGGTTGGTTTCTCCTGAGGCCTCTCTCCCTGGCTCCCAGACAGCCGCCTTCTCCCCGAGTCTCGCGTGGTCTTCCCTCTGCGCGTGTCTGTCCAAACTGTCCCTTCTTACGAGGACAGGTCATGCTGGCTTAGGGCCCGCCCTAATGACCTCATTTTGCCTTAATCACCTCTTTAAAGACCCAATGTCCAAACACACTCTGAAGTAGTGGGATTTGGATTTCAACATATGACGTTTCGGGGGGACACGATGCAGCCCATGCCTGCTTCCTTAGGTGCAATGCGCAACTTTCCCTGTCCCAGTGGGAGCCAGAGTTCTCCAGTGTCCTCGGCAGGGGCCCCAACACACTCTTGGTGCATTGTCCACGCCGGTGTGATTTCATGCTGATTGCTAGGAGAACATTTTTATTTCTCGGGGCCTGGTTAGAGCACTCCTGTAGGACTTCAGGCTTTCAAAGAATAAGGTATTACTTTTTGTGATGCTATCGACATACCTTACTGTGGTTTCCTTCTCGTGTGCTCCAGCGACAGCCGCACCTGGGTCCCGGCATTGCCGCCCTAGACCCGGGGTGGGCTGTGCCCACTTGAACCATGTGTTTGCTCGAGAGTCTGTGGTTTATTAAGAAACCCATCTGCCCTGGCCGGTTTGGCTCAGCGGTTAGAGCGTCGGCCTGCGGTCCAGAGAGACCTGGGTTCGGTTCCCGCTAAGGGCACGTACTTCGGTTGTAGTTTGTCCCCGGCCCTGGTTGGTCGTGCGGTGGCAGCCACTCGATGTGTCCCTTTCACATCGATGTTTCTCTCTCTCTGCCTCTTCCTCTCTCTCCCTCCCACTCTATCTGTACAAAATATGGAAAAATATCCTCGGGTGAGGATAAAAAAAAAAAAAAAGAAACCCATCTGATCTCTTGGCCAATGTGACACTCAGGGGAGCCCTTGGTCCTGGGATCTGGGAAGCGGTGACTGATAGACGTTTTTGTGCTTTTCCGTCACAGGGTGTTTCCTCTGAGCGTTACTTCAGCCCCGGTGCCCTGCTGCCCCCACCCCCCCCGGCAGGGGCCGTTCCTCTCTACAACCCATCTCAGGTGCCCCAGGTGAGGAAGCCCCGAGGGCCGGGGGCTGGCCCAGGTTAGGGATGAAGGAGATCCGGGTTCATAGTCCTCGTTGACCATGTGCTGTGACCATGTTCTTGAGCAATGACTTAACCTCTCGAAGTCTCAGTTTTTGCATCTGTGAAATAGGCTTAGCAGGAGCCACCTCACCCAGCAGTCATGGGGATTCAATGGAGCACGTGTGTGTGTGACGAGCCGGGCACCACGAAGAGGGTCGATCAGTGTTGCAATGATCAGTGTTGCTCTTGACCTTTCATAAGTCTTGAGACTCGAGGGTCAACTGGCGCTGACATCAGTGGAGGGCCTGCGCCATCACTGTCGGGGGCGAGGGTCCCTGCAGCTCCGTGAGAGAAGCTCCGCCCCCTGCCCCTCAGTGACTTGGGGCACGCTGGCGGCTCCTAGGACACTTGTGCCCCCCTCCCCCCGTATAAAATCGGATTTCTTTTGCCATATTTAAGAGCTGAAGGTGCCGGGTGGAAGTGAATGAGGGCGTATTACCCTGGGAATCCACATGCAGCGGAGCGTTCTGGGCTCTCGGGGTGCCCTGGCTCCGACCAGCCGTCAGCCCGGGGGTCACGCTTGGGCTCTGATCCGATGCATCGTTGATTCTGTTCCAGCTCCCCGCGGCCACTAACCTGAGCCGGCCATATCGCCTAGCCCAGCGCCGCTACCCAACCCAGCCGTGACGACTGACCGCCCACCCCAGGGGTCTCCTGGAGCACAGTGTTGCTCTCCTCCCTGAATCTCCGGCCCCTCTGCTGTGTTGGGGCCCCCAGGAGGGCTGTCCTGCCCGTTGCCTCCACTGGGCGCAGGGAAGGCAAGGGGACAGGGTCCCCCAGGACACAGCTCAGCCCAGTCTCTGAAGATCAGCTTCACGACAGAAGTGCCTTCATCAGGTGAGAAGCTGGGGCAGCAGCAGACGAGGTGAGCAGGACGCCACAGCGGGGACACAGGACGGCAGCTCTGGAGTCTCGGGAAGGTCAGGCCCAAGGACACGCCGCTGCCATCCACGAGGTGCCACCAGGCCCTGCCGCAGGAATCACTGGGGGTCACTCAGAGCGATATCCCGGCTAGTCCGACTCCTTCCTCATTATAGATCAATCCCAGCTCCACTGAGCAAAAGTTTTTCTACTGAAACTTGACTCTTCTTGTCATAATTCCCTTTCCAGCAGCATCTCAGCCGTGTCCCCGTTGGTCCTCGTTTGTGCACATTAATTCGGTTTCTCTCACTTTCTTAGCTGGTCCTATTTTTCCACATTTTGGCATCTGGCTATCAAGTCAGATTGCTGTCGGCATCACATTGTCATGGTAACTACTGAACCTAACGATGCAGATGGATGGAACATCAGTCTAATAAATGATGGAAAACATTTTCTAAAATTTCACCCCTTCCCTAAGAGAACGAGAATGAGTGCGTGATGTTGGTACCCCCCCCCCCCTTCAGGCCTTTGCAAATTAGTGTTCAGAGGGCCACTGGGGCCAGGGGGGGGAAGGGGGACAGCTTGGAAATTTCCTTTTTTTTCCCTTTCAAACCCAAAATAGATATGATTCTCGGTGTTTGTCAGATTTGGTGAGAATCGCTCCTCACAAAGAACATTTTTTTGTACGTGTCATTGTACATGCAGATTTCGTGCTCCGATGTACTACAGTTCTGATGTTGGTGGCGATTAAACCAGATAATTTTATAGCAAAGGCTTGTCTGCGGCACATCGACCGGTCTCTTCCCTGAAGTCTGTCCTGACAGTGGGTTCACTGTGTGACAGGCCACGCAGGCTGGAATGAGCCCGTTGTTGTCGGAGAACTTAGGGACTTGTCCTCCTAACGTCCAAGTCCACTCCGGTGTCATCATTCATTTCAGTGAAGAAAATATGGACCGCAGTTCCCGGGGTGCAAGGAGTCCTTCGTTAACTGCATGGCGCATGGTCTGTTTCCCATCCGTCTCTCAGAGTAAACTGGGTGGTGCTTTGCATCCAGAGGGCCCTCCGTAAATGCTGCTCCCCTTCCGTCCTCAACGGGCTGCTCCTCCGGTTGGTGTGCTGACCCCCGTGGCGGTGCCATGGTAGCAGTGGGCGAGCCCCCAGGAGTCAGACTGCTGAGGCTCGAATCCGGGCGCACAGGCAGCTCACCTGGTAGCCTCAGCCAACTTCACCGAACTGCCCTGGGCCTCTCATCTATGACACGAGGGTGACAATGACCGCAGTGCCTATTGCATAGAAACATTGCAAGAACGAAATGAGTCCAGCGCATAGAAAAGTACCTGGTACATGCTAAGCAGTATATAATGGTTTTTTAAAAAATTTAATTATCAGTATATAATCTATAAGTACAGTCTTGACTGTCTTGTTGCCTACTGGCTTAAACTGGATGTTTCCTTCTTGATATAGGCATATAATGGGAATAATAACTTCAAACTACCAATATGTGTCCTTATTACTAAGCCAGGGAGCAAAGACCCCGGGGGAGGTCCTGCCCCACAGGAGGAGCACGCGGAGGAGGAGAGTGAGGACGAAGAGGAAGGCAAAGACGGCAGGTGCCTGTGTCCTCACTGCCTCCCCCTGCAGGAGTATACACGGAACAGCAGAGACTGCAGTGTTAGCAAAGCAAGCCCCGAACTTAGTTACGTCCCAGGCAAAGGGACACGCTTGCTGAGGGGAAACCAGGGCTGTGGACACCGGGAAGGGAGGCGGTCAGGGTATTTCTGCTCATTCGTGATCAGAGGCTTGTACTCCAGGGGGGCCGTCTGCACAAGTCCTGTGGTTCCCTGTCAGGAGAGAGCCCTCCGCTGGGTCCAGTAAGGGTCTGGCGCACTGGGGTCACTCAGAGGTCTCAGTTGTTTATTAGCTTCTCTTAGTGGTGAGGATGCCGGTGAGGTGGCTAAAGGTCATGGTCGTTTTACAGCTGGTTAAAACCAGTTGTGCGGAAACAAAGCAAGCTCAGCTGTAGGAGGAAAACATTGTTTTCTCCCTTTGCAAGATGGAAGCTTGGGGAGTCGAGCCGTCACCACAGACCTTGCTGCTGGGAACAGGGAGCCCGAGAGCGGGGGGCTCGTGGTGCCCTTCCTGCCCAGGGCTGGGGGAGGCCGCAAGCCTTGGAGAAGCTGTCTTTGCATTGGCACCTGGTGCAACATGGCTTGGGACCCGGAGCAGCTTGGCCTGGGAATGACCGTGGTCACAGGCGGGGCCTCAGCTGCCTGCAGCCTGGTATATGTGGGCTCCTCCAGGGATCGACTGCATGGTGTCCCCAAAGGACACAGGGACCAGTTGTGCCCCAGCAGACACCAGGTCAGGGTGCGGCCAGACTGGCCCATCACCAAGAGCCATTTTGGGGAAGGAAAAGAAACAGAAGTCTCTCTTTAAAAAAAAGGAATTACCAGAAGACACTGTTTAAAAGGGGAAGAGACAGATATTAATTGCAAGTGTGTTTTTATTCCTCCTACTCCTCACTGGGGTGCGATCTTGGAGGGAGAATAGCTTTAGGAAATAAAGTGACATTTTCCTTAAAAAATCGAGTGGTTACGTGCGCGTTTGCGATCCTGCTATATACATATAATTTAATATTTATATGAAAACATTTAAACTTAATGTTCAGTAATTTGGAAGAGTACAAACCGTTAAATTCCATTTAAGTGTCTTTATCACATATAACCATTCCAGCCTCCTGTCTACTCCCCTCCTGTTGCCATAAAACTGCCAACAAGCCGAGATGCCTCAGTCACCTGTCCCGAACCACATCCTCTCAGCCTTCGCTCAAGCCTCAGGTGCTCCGATTCAAAGCCCCTGCTCGCGTTCTTTCTCCCCTAGAAATCTTTCTCTTCGGTCTCGTCCGCAGAGCAACCAAGAGGAAGAAAGAGCAAGGGACCGCATCTACCTCTTCGCTAAAATCCGAATATTTTCTTCCCAAGAGGAAATCTGCAAAACACTCGGGGTCTCTCACGCACAGGATTTCTGGGGCGCTTTCCTCCGCAGAGAGTGGAAAGGAAGGAAGTGCCTTTTCCCCTCGTGTATTTGCCATCTTAACCGGGGCAGTTGTGCATCCCATGATTTGTACACAGCGGGTGCGGGGTACTTACCTGCGGCTCCCTCTGAGCGCGGCCCCCACGGCTGTCTGCTCCCGTGAAGCAATGGTACCAGGCACCATCCATTCAGGCCCTTCAGAAGCGGTTTCTTAATGAGATCGCACGTTATTCTGAATGAGGACTAACAGCAGATCAAATGTTTCATTACGGTCTCACTAAGTAGGGGCGTCTGCTTCCCATACTTTCGCCCTTTTTGTATCTGTCTCCAGGTAATAATCGTACTTCGCGGAAACTAGGTCAACAGCAAGGTAACTCGCGCTTGGCTGACCTGTGCAAGCTGCTTGATATTTTCGTGTGAGATGCTTTCCTAGTCTTTAACCATCTCCCAGGGAGCTGATTAAGTATCCAATTTTTAAGGACTCTCAGGAGAGGGGGATTCCGTGGCTCCCCGCAGAGCTTTGGCCTGGAGTTTCACAGCCTTGAACATGGGAAGCTCTTCCTAGTGCTTTATGGCCAGTTACTCCCACGGCTCTGAGACTCTCAGCTGGTCCTCCGCGGAGCTGGGAACAGCTGCTCACCACCACCTGTCCCCGGGACGCGTGCACATTCTGCACGGACACTCACTCGTGTCTCAGCTTTTGAAACGAAGGCTTGCAAAATGGGCTTATCTCGACGGGAGCTGGGGATCAAACCAACTACATGCTTTGGTAGCTAGAGCGGCCACACATTTGAGTTTCAATAATAATTTTTCTTGAGTATTTTTGCTCAGTGTCAGGCACTGTGGCATACCTTCTGTGAAGCATGTATTATTATTGCAACGTTATATGAGGAATCTGGAAACTCAAGAGAGAGATTAAGCAATTTGTCCAAGGTCACACACGCGTGAGGATGGAGCTGGGACTGGAATCCAGGTAGTCTGACCTCTGAATCTGGGCTTTTAGCCATATTGTCCCTGGACATGTGTACATTTATTTGTTCAGTAATTCATCAAATATTAATTGAATAGTGTGTCAGGCATTGCACTGCATTCGCGACAAGATGATCTTGACGCTTAAAATAGTCAGAGTTGAGTGAGGAAGACAGACCTATAAACATATAAACAGAAATTGCTGCCTAACTTTGGGCTAGAAAATTTTAGCTAATTTTGAATATTCCCTGGCTTGTGGAAATCAAAGACCTCGACTTTTAAAATGTGTTTCGGAGTTCCGGAGCCCATTCTGAAATATAAAAGTTAATCACTGCTTCTTTTTCACTGTTCTTGTTCTATAATCAAGGTGTGTGGTCGGGAGGCGACCTCATTGTCCTGGATGGAGGAGAAAGAATTTGAGTTTGGGGTTTCCAGATTTGATTTCTACCTCTTTGGGTAGTTGGATGGATTCCTATGAAGTAAGAACAAACCAGAGTCTTATGGTCATGACTTCTTTAGGCAATTTTTCAGCTTCTTTGCTGTGCAGGCAACGACAACAAACCATCAGTCATCCCAATAAGGCACGCCAGTGAATATCTTGAGTCAGGATGTGGTCGCACTTGCTTGGTGAACAGGTATATTACCGACAAGTTGCATACACATTGACGTTTGCTAAATCAAATTAGTTTTTAAATGCACTGGAGTAGCTTGCAATGGAAAGTTAATTGATATTAAGCCCCTAAAATAAAGAATTATTTGCAAAGAAACCAACCACTCCCATTTACCACTTTGTAGAGGCTGACTTTGAAGTCTCGGAGAAG